GCCGGGGGTGGGGCTTGTCGGGCGCTGCCAGCTTTCTAAAGATTGACATTTCGGTTGGTTTTCTATTTTTTTTTTTAATTTTTAATTTTTTAAAATTTACTTTGGGGGTGGAATTGCAGCTCGTAAGTCTCGCGCAGCTTTTTTTCCGCCTCCGTCTTCCACCGGACCCTTTTCCCCTTCTGTCTTTCGAATGGTTTTTAGGCTGGATTTTCACAAGAGGAGAGTGTGGCGAGGGGTCCGGGGCGGCGGGAGAGAAGGCAAAGGGCTCGCACGTGGGCTCCGAGGTTTATTTTGTAATTCAAGTTCGTTATTCGGGAGCTTTTTCCAACTCCTCAAGGTCAGCGGGGATTTCTTGTTGCGGGTCTGTGCTCCCGGGGAAAGCGGCGGGTCCCCCCCGCCCCGGGGGTGTGTGGGGACACACACACACACACACACACAGAGGGCTCCCCAAGACCCTGCCCGGCGGAGCAGACCCCGTTTAGCTTAAAAAATAAACCGGCTTTGTCACCGAGTTTGCCGGCGGTCGCCAGTCCCGCGGTGGCGGAGCGCCCCGCGCCCGCATCCCCCCGCACGACACGACGGCGACCCCCAAGGCCCCACAATTTGCCTTCCCGGGGCCCTCACAGGGAGCCCCGGTGGGGTGTCCCCCCCCCCCAAAGCCCCGTCCCTGCCTTCGGGTGACACCCCGGCACCTTCCTCGCCGCGGCCAACTCCGCTCCGTGCGCAGGAACGCGGTTCACGGTCACCCCCATCCACATCGTCACCCCATCGCCGCCACGCCATTCGGGAAGTTGTCTTTCAATTAATCCTGGGATTTAAAATTATTTTTCATTTTTTCCCCCAATAAATATATGTTTAACAACATCCCCGTTCAAATAATAACTTTTTTTTTAAAGTCAGTACTTATTGTTTTAGGTCGTTAAGGAGAAGAGTAATTTTTAGAGCTCTCTTGGCTGTGAAAGCGAGGTTGAATGGAGTGGAATATTTATTTTTTTTAAAATTTTTCCCTTTTATTTTATTTTTCCCCCCTTCTTCTCTTTCTTTTCGCGTTTGCAAAAGGCATCGTAATTTTTTTTGTTTTGGATTTTTTTAGTCCTTTTTTTTTTTTTTTTTTTTGTTTGCAGCTGGGTGCCCTTGTGCCCAGCGCAGGGGCTGCGTTTTTGCAGCTGGGCGCCCAGTGCGAGCGGCGCAATTTGCGCCGGCCTCCCCCACGGTGAGCTCCCCCGGCTCGGCAGCGGTAAATTAAGCTTCTGCCGCTTGAGGACTAAGAGGTCTTTTTTTTTTTTTTTTTTCTTCTCTCCAGTGCCTGTGCCCTCTGAAGCGCTGGGGAGATGCGGGGGGACCCCCGCGCCTGGGAGGGAGCGCTCCCCCCGCAGCAGCGGCTCCGAGGGCTCCCCTGGCCGAGCCAGCGCCGCGACCACGGGCTGGAGGAAGCTCCTGTTGGAGAGGTTGAGCCCTGATTAAAATCAGGTGTTTAATACAATACAAGGCCCAACGGTTTATGGGGTTTCAGCTGAGGATTTTTTAGGGATCACAGTTCAAAACAGTAGTCCGAATCTAAGGTTTCACTATCCCAGGAGTATTTATTTGCAAAACAGATTAAACACGGACAGGAGTGTGTGGATCTCGCTGTGTTTACACGGCGAAGGTGGTGAGAACTTGAGTTTTAGGGCACGAAATCCCGCCGTCCCTGCCCGAGCACACCTCCCCGCCCGCATTCGGGGGGCTCCGGGTGCGCTCCCCGCGCTGGATGCCCGCACACATCCCGCGTACGGGCTCCGCGGCCGCCGAGGTGTGCGCAGTGTATTAAAACCACGGGCTTGTTGTAGAATTTCATTTCATTGGACAATATTTTAAGCAGATGTGAGGCTCCTTTGGGAATTCGGCTCGCTTACCTGGCTTGGGAAAGGGATGGACGCGTGTGTGTGCGCGCCGGGGTGGGGGTTAAAGCCAAATTTTTGGGAATTTTACCCCGGTTCCCCGGGAGAAGGGCAGGTACCGGAGGCGGCGGAGCTGAACTAGGGATGGGAATGGTCCTCGCTCGTTTTCTCGCTCCCCTCTCGGGGGTGGGGGTCTTTAGCCACGGCTGTAAATCAGGAGATCACCCCGTGGGTGCTCCAGGTGAGCGCCCCCCCCCGCACCCCTTAGGGGTCTTCAGTTCATGAGGGGGCCCGGAGGACGGTGCCCGGTGCCCGGCACTATTTGGGGGGCTCGGAGGGCAGGGGGTTCTGCTGGAGCGGGCAGGTAGGAGAAGGCCATGCCGTGCCCCAGCCGTCAGTGGGTCGTCTCTTTGAGCGAGAAAATAAAATATTGGGGACTGGGGAGAAATTCTGCAATAGCTGAGGGTCTCCTTTGTACTGGGGAGAAGGTGGAGAAGCGGCAAAGGACGGGGTTCGGCGCTGCACGGTTAAAACAAATTCGTTCCCCTTTGAATTCCCTGCCTCAGGTTATCAGAGAAGGGACAGAGCTCCCACCCACGCGGGAGGGAATGGGAATTTGGGGGAGATCTCAGGTTGGGAATAAATGTCGGCGCCTGGAAAAGGCTGCCCCAACGTTCCTGCCTGTCCCGCTTACTGGTCTTTATTGGGAATATGACAAAGTCAAAGTTTGGAGCCTGAGTTTTCAGCCGGAGCTGCCGCGTCCTCCCGGGCGGGATGGAGAGACCGGGAGTCGGTGGAGAGTCCGGCCCCGGGACCCCCTCCCCGGCCCGGGGACCGGCTTCCCGCTCGCTGCCGGCTTTTAATTAGTGCTGATGGGGAAATTAGGGCTGATGGGGAGGGAGAAGGGAGCGGGAGAGCGGCGGGGGCTGGAGTCCCGGTCCCGCTCCTCGGCGTGCGACCCCGCTTGAGCAGAGGGTTCCGATGTCGGAACACGCGGAGGGCGAAAATTTATGGCGGTTTCGGGCTTTTTAGGTATTTTTAAATTTTTTATTATACATATATTTTTTTTTTACATCTCTGAGCCTGCCGTCTCCTCTGCCCTGTCCCTGCCCCGACCGGACAAACAACCCCCGGGACGCCGCGGAAAAGGCAGCCAGGAACCGCGCTGCCGTCTGCGGCCCGAAACACCGCGCCCGTGTGCGCGGAGCCCCGCGCAGAGCTCCGCAGGTGCGGGCCGGAGCGGAGGCCCCCGGTGCTGGGTCCCAGTCGCCGCCGCTTCACCCTCCCCCGCCCTGCCCCGGATCTCTTCAATTAGGCAATTAGGGATGCCGGGCAGGGAATTGGTGGTGGTGGTGATGGTGGTGGTGGGGGGGGGTGGGTTGATCCGCTAATTAAGGTGATGTGTAATTAGCGCTTCAACAAAAATTACCAAGGATTTAAGATCGGTTTAGTCTTAAAAAAGAAAAAAAAAAAGAAAAAATAATATTTCAAATTCTACAAATATAATTTATCGATTCACTTTGGGGGGGGTGGGTTGATCCGCTAATTAAGGTGATGTGTAATTAGCGCTTCAACAAAAATTACCAAGGATTTAAGATCGGTTTAGTCTTAAAAAAGAAAAAAAAAAAGAAAAAATAATATTTCAAATTCTACAAATATAATTTATCGATTCACTCGCCTGATTTATTTGAGAAAGGGCAGAGGGAATAACTGCAAAGCGCTTCCTTCTCCCTCGCCCCGGGAAGGGACTTGGCAACCGGGAGGAAGGAGCTGCATGTTTGACGGGGGAGACGCTTTGAACTTGCCCGCGGGCTCCCAGCTTGGAGGTGCCAAAGGGCTTGAACCGAAGACGGAGCAATCGGGGGCTGAATTTTTGGCCCGGAGGGCAGTGGGTGCCCGTGGGTGCCGGGGCTGTGGGTACCCGAAGTGCGGGGGGTGTTTCACCCACGTGTGTGTGTGGCATCACGGGGCGTTCGCGTGTGCGGGGATACACGGCACTTTATTAAAAAAAAGTGCATCCCGAACGGTGCGTTATTCCCATTTAACTGAATTCCTGCATCCCATAAAAACACCCTGGGGATGCAAACCCTGTCTGTTGGACCCACAGGGAGCACATACTGTAACGCACAGTACAACCCCAGGTAGGGGATGGTCAGGAACCAGCACCTTACGTGCAGGAACTGTGACTTGCATTTTAAAAAACTTTGTTTAACAACAAATAAAAAGCTGCCCTTATTTTTAGACTCTGCATTGGAACTGCCCTATGAGTTCAAGTTCAACAATAGCAAATTAGGTCTTCAATGAGCTGGGGGGGAAATGAAAACGAGCATATTTCTAAAAGTTGCTATTAAAAATACCTGATGGAGACACAGGTCAGAAAGAGAAAAGAATTGCTCCTCTGTTCCCCGTGCAGAGAGACACCAGCCAGTGTTTGGTCACACGTTACTGGTCTAATAAGACTTTGAAAAGGGGCAGGATTCTGCCCCCTCGGAGGGGAGAGAGCCCGGGCGTACCTGAGCCACACAAAAATCTCCACTCCCTTCTGGGCAAAATGCACGGCAGGAGCTTG